TGTAATTTTGTATACATTGAGTGTATACAAAACTAAATTAGGTCGCTTATAGCTTCCAACAGTGAAATGAACATTAGCATTTAAAGTGTAGCAGTGATCAACATGTAAACAGTATAGGAGAAGAGAAAAAACAGTTTTACAGATATTGGTGCATAGAGGCATTTATAAGGAAGGTTCAGAGCAGTGCAAAATATAATGGGTCAAAAGGCTGTATAACATTGAGTTGTATCTTATTTAAAAGGATTATTCAATTCAGTTCAGTTTATTTCTATAGCTCCAATTCACATCATGTCATCTCAGGTCACTTTACAGTTCAACCAGATCATCCAGTCAGATTGATTCAAAGTTTTCTATCTAAGGAAAACCAGCTGATTGCATCGACTCATTGACTCTTCAGCAATCCCTCACACTAAGCATACTTGTAGCGACAGTGGAGAGGAAAAACTCCCTTTGAACAGGAAGAAACCTCCAGCAGAACCAGGCTCAGTGTGAGCGGCCATCTGCTGAGGCCCACTGGGGTTCAAGGAGACAGAAGCAGACATAGAAAAAGCAGCTGTAAAAGGCGGCCCCGTCCATTATAAATGTTTAAACCACATTGGTGGTTTAAACTTTTATAACTCTGTCCTAATCAGTGGAGCGTGGTTAGGTCCACCATGATCTCCTTGGTCTTCTCCACCTTCAGGATCAGGCTGTTATCTCTGCTCCACCAGCTGCTCCACCTCCTCTCTGTAGTCCAGGTCATTGTCGTCTCTGATGAGGGGGGACGCAGTCATGCGTCATCAGGATGAATAGCAGGGGGCTCAGGAGGGAAGCCTGTGCTTAGACTGATGACATCGGAGGTCTTTTATCCGGCCTGGACTGACTGAGGTCTGTTGGTGAGGAAGTCAAGCAGCCAATAGCAGAGGGTTGTATTGAAGCCCAGCTGTTCCAGTTTGCCCATCAGATGCTGTGGGATGATGGTGTTGAAAGCTGAACTGAAGTCCAGGAACAGCATCCATCGTGGGTGTTCTTCTCCTCCAGGTGTGCCAGGCTCAGGTGGAGAGCAGCAGAGATGGCGTCCTCAGTGGGACTGGAATAATGGAGGCAGACTGGAAGCATGCTGGCACTATGGATTGGTCCAGCCAGGTGTTAAAGATGTCTGTGAGGACACCAGCCAGCTGATCTGACCACTCCTTATACACCTGCCCAGGTGTGTCATCAGGCCCTGGGTCCTTCCTCTGATTGACTCTCCTCAGAGTTTTCCTCACTTCAGCTACGTCCAGGTTTAGTGCCTCCTCCCCCTGGTGTGGAACAGCTTTCACTGCTGGAGGCTGTTTAGTGCCTCAAACCTTCCGAAGAAGTTGTTCATTTAGAAAGTCAACAAAGTAGCTGCACCCACCCGGGGTGAGGGTGTGTTGTTGTCTCCAATGGCCCGTGTGCCATGCCGCATGCTCTTGGTGTTACTGGCATTGTGGGAAAGATCCTGGATTTTCTGACTGTGGTTCCGGTTTGTTAACCTGATAACACGATTCAAGTTGGCTCTCGCTGTCCTCAGTGCCTCTTTGTTGCTAGACTTAAAGGCTGAGTTCCGTGCTTTTAACGATTGTTTGGTCTTTATACTTTTTGCTGTCAAATTGTCCAACTATGAGTAACGCAGTTTATTTGATTTAAGTATGCTATCTTTAGTACCTTTACAGTATTCTTTGTTCAAGCCTAAAATTTCTGCTGTATGCCATACTGGAGGTGCAGGATCGTTTGCCATATTTACTTTGAGGCTGAGTCTTTATTCCATGGTCTCTCTGCACTTTACAGTTTTTGCATCTGTAACTCCTCAAGCAGCAAAACGCTTGTCAACACGGGTAAGAAAACAGGTTTGGTGGCTGCTGCTATGATGCTTAAAAAGAAACACCGTAGCCAACTGGATCACAGAGCAATGCTTGTTGGAAATGCTGTTATACAGACTACGGTTGACTGTGGAAAGCCTTTTTTCATACAAACAACAGGTATTTACTTAGGCTTTGTTGATAGTTGTTGTTTGTTATTTTCTAACTCTAAGTTACAATGATATAAATGCAATTATGAACTCAGGTGAGGAAAATATAGATATAGAAAGCAGAATAGATTACAAAAGAATTCAACTTTATTGTCATTACACTGTCATAAATATAGAGCAAAGATTGTGCAATGCCCAGGGAGCAGTGTGGGGTTCAGGGTCCTGCTCAGAGACCCAGAGTGGCAGTCCTTGGGAATGGGGCTTCAACTCAGAACCTCTGGGATCCATATGCAATGCCCTAACCACCAGGCTGCCACTCCCCGAAACAAAGTATGTATGAGAGAAAAATATAAAGTATTTAACTAACTCTAAATGTTTTTACCAGACAAATATAAAGATCCAAGATGTTCCAGAAATATAATACATTTAAACTCTGTGATTTAAAACAAACATGTCCTGCATTGCCTCACAACAGCGCGTGCTACGTGTGCTATGCTCATAGTAAATGTGTCCATGTCCTCTGCACAGCTCCAGTCTGAGCAGAGTTCAAATAGAGCTGCCGAAAGGCAAAAGAGTTTACACAACCCTTCACCTGATCTAACTTTTCTATGCTGAGGACTCACAGGGAGCCTCACGAAGGTGCAAAAGCCCAGGTCACCTGTTAAGCCTGAAAGACACAGACAACAATCTATCACTAACATACTGAGGAAGATATAAATACTTATCTATAAATACTTTCTATGTTAGAAAAGCTAATGGTAAACTAGCTCCCAGGTTTCTCTGTCTGGAAGGAAACAGTTAAGCAGACGAGCTCTGAGTCCGTTTTTATGCCAAAAGGGGTGAAAGGGAGCATAACCAGTTAGTGACAGCAAAAACTCAGACTGTAGTTCTGTCTACGAGAGAAACAGGATTGAACACTAAAAAAACAGGCTCCAGTTCTGTTATCTATAACTGATGGTGTAGATGGCAGCAGGATTAGTATTGTGGTATTTTACAATTGAACTGTCTACAGCTTAATTCACAACTTTTTTTTATTTAGTTGAATAATAATCCTCTGTTGATGTTGATTGATCTTTTTTCATTTTTATTTGTGATTTAAAATGATGTATTATTACCCAGTAGTGAGGAACAGAATGTGGTGTAATCTCAGCATGTGTGAACAGGTGGGCAGGCCCACAGTGCATTTACAGTTAATCGATTATTGAAATAATAGCCAACTAATTGAGTAGATTAATCGTTAACCGGAGTATAGAGACTCTAAAACACGCCTTTAGCTGACGGAGCGACCCACTCAGCAGAAACTATATCAAGATTGAGAAAAAAATGTAAAACATTTTGCATTTAAGATTCTTAAAATTCTACTTTCGTTCTCACTATGACTAGCCACCAGGTGAAAGTTTGAGTTTCACCTGTTTTAATTTCGTAAAAAGTCTTTCTTTGAAAGTCTTCAGCTATATGATTATTAATCAAAAAAGTTATCGACAGATTAGTCTAATTGCTAATTAGTTTTTAGTTGCAGCCTTAGTCTGGACATGTATTGGTATGCCAAAAAACTCCACTAACATTTGGACCAAACGTTTTTCATGGTAGTTTTTTGCGATTGTCAACAAGTAGGCCTATTGTTCAGCGTTGAATTCCACATATATAGAATATAGTGGAGGATTTTCTGGAATTTTTGAAAGTGTCAGCAGCCTCTCCACTTTAAAAAAAAAAACTCACAGTTGCACGACTCTGTACCCACTGCTGAGAGGGAAAGCCTATTAAACGCACAAAAGTGCAGAAGTTACTGTTACTGTTTGCATCGCTGATACCAGCTTACTTTCCAAAAGCAGATTTTAAATTTTTCCTCTATGTCAGACTAACCACTGGTAAGGGAAAATGGGGACGAGCACGTAGAACGGCCTTATAACATATAACCAGAATGATTGACAATTAGGAGGACCAAATATTTTTGATGATCCTCCCATAAAAACAACATCCTCCACTATAGCTTTAATATATTGTCCATAGATATAACAACTGTTTATGGCAGGACCTCCATGAAAGTGAAATCTTGCAGGTAGAAAACATTCAAAGATTAACAAAACTGGTCAAACACATTGATAATAATGAATGTCCCTCATTAAAAGAACATTTTTCTCATAGTAGCTTCATCTGGTCTGTTCCTGTTTGGCTGTGACTCCATCCTGGAGAGAAATATCAGCTGTGCTGCTGCCATCAACACCTTTGTTTCTAGATGTTGGAGCTTGGCCTGTTTTCCAGTGTAGTCCTGTTTCTCTGACTGTGACTAACTGGATGTGCTCTCTTCATCCTATGACATGGGAGCTGGCTCGGAGCTCGTCTGCCTGGCTGTGTGTTTCCTGGACGGGGCCGCCTGTGGAGCTGGTTGCCTTTTGTATCTATGCTTCTTTTTCTATGTCTGCTTCTGTCTCCTTGAACCCCAGTGGGCCTCAGCAGATGGCCGCTCACACTGAGCCTGGTTCTGCTGGAGGTTTCTTCCTGTTCAAAGGGAGTTTTTCCTCTCCACTGTCGCCACAAGCATGCTTAGTGTGAGGGATTGCTGAAGAGTCAATGAGTCAATGCAATCAGCTGGTTTTCCTTAGATAGAAAACTTTGAATCAATCTGACTGGATGATCTGGTGAACTGGAAAGTGACCTGAGATGACATGATGTGAATTGGAGCTATAGAAATACACTGAATAGAATTGCTACTGAATAACAGAATTAGAATCCAGACAAAACAAGGTGTAGTTCTACAAAACCGTTTGTTTGTTCCTAAGTCATCATAATAATAATAAATAAAAAGTTTTTCCTTTACTTCTATGCTTTCCAAAACTTATGACCATGAGGGGGAAATTCTCCGTTATGATGGTTTCTCACTAAGGGAACCTCAGCAGGAACCCTGCTGGTCATGCTGATTGAAACGCAGCTCGCTTTTAACTGGGTTAAAGGTTGTGGTCCGGCGCCAAGTTTAACTCCATGCATATTCAGCAGGGCCCGCTCTGGGGGAGGGCACATTTAGCTTATATATGGCCACACAGTCCAGAGACTATGATCGTCCCACAAACTGGAACTCCTGAATAGAGGAAACGTGTGAAACACAAGGAAAACAAAAGAGTCGTTTACAGTAAGTTCATTTTTACTCTTTAACCTTCCCTCGTTTTCTGACTTTTCTGTTGATGTGTGATCTGCAGTAAGAAGTTTTTTTCTAGTAGAGTTCAGTTACCCATTTATTCTAATTCTAGTTGTTGGCTTCTAGAACATCTCTAAGTATTTCATACTGTTTAAATCTATTGAAGGGGTTATTCTTTAACATCTTAATACTTTGTAGAGCAACGGTGGAGATAACTTAGTTTAAATGACATTCTTGTGTAGTAAAGGTGTAAAGGTTAACCTCATAACATGTTATCTTCTGTCTCCACTAACAGGTGAAAATGGAAACCATGCAGGAGTTGATCCCATTTGCCAAAGAGATGCTCAGTCAGAAACCTAGTCGGAAGCTGCTGAAACTGTATCTGCTTGGCTCCGTGTTCGCGGTGTTGGGCACAGCTATCGGCTTGGTGGAGACTCTGTGCCAACCCTTTTCCTCGGGTGAGCCGATGGACGCAGAGATGCTCCTCATGTTGAACTCAGAGCACGTTAAAGCTGAAGCACAGCCAAGCCGAGGCATAGAACTGCAGAAGCAGGAGGAGCAGGAAGAGGAGCAAGAGGAGGAGCTTGTTCAAGAGACAAAAACTAAAACTGAGAACCTAAGCCCATCTAAGACGTATAGGCTCATCCAGAGGAGTTCAGCCAACCGCCTCCATGCTTCCTGAATCCAAGGCCGTCAAAGTTACGTGACTTGAAATATTTATTGGCTAAACCACTTTACTGTGCCACTGACTGATCGGAAGCATCTGATAATATGCTTCAAACTAGTGACAGTGGCCTGAACACTGAAAATGTGTCATCTCACCTTAGATATTTTGGGATTATAAAACGTACAGTGTAGGTAAGATTAAGGCAACAAACAGTGGGATGCTTGAAAACCTTTAACATAAAGTTCTGCAAAACAGGCAGAGGTTTCTAGAGACAATCAAAGAGTTTTTGATGACATGAAGAGTCTCTGCAAGCAGCAGCAGGATGTGAGTTCAGCTGTGAGAAGCTTACTGTGCAGTGCCCCCTACTGGCAGCTGGTTGTGGATAAAAAAAGCAAACGGTCAAGACCTCAGGCACTGTAGAAGGATTGCTGTAAATGTGCTCTAACTGTAAATATTCAATATTTTTGTTACTTTCTATTAAAGTTTTTTCCTTGATCATGTATGATTTGCTCATGTTTTGCCTGGATGATCTCAACACAGCATGAATCTTTTTATTTCTGCAGGGTTAGGGTGAGTGCAATAAGCTGGATGACTCAGTTACAGCAAATATTACCAAATTACAGGAGTTGGTGACATTTCAGAGGTTGCTGACAACCGTACGGTCGCTGCAAGATATTTTCTTCATAGAAGTGAAAGAAAAGTTGTTTTCTGACATTAGGATCACATGTCTATGTTTTCCTCTGCAAACATATTTCTAAAGATAATGAAAAATACATTTTAAGATTTATTTTTCCGCTTATGTTCTATTTTTCTTTTCAATTCTTTCCAGTCAGGCTTTAGGCTGCTTGTTTTTAACCAAGACTGATTTGGTTACCGGTTTTTGATGAAATATATCTAAACAGTAATTGGTTCAGAACTATTCAAAGAGCTGATTGTAAACAGCTTGGTTAAATAAAAGGTGCTTAGAGCTACAAATGTTATATGGCCTTTAAAAAAACAAAAACAACTTTTAATCTTGAATGAATATCTACTTTAGGACATGTAATTCATATAAAAATGTTTTTCTGCTGTAAGATAAGGAAAAGTTTCCAGTTTGTGCAAAAAGAAGATGGAAATATCTTCTGGTATGGGATGCTGATATTTGTAGAACATTATGTAAAAAAACAAAAAAGCAAAAACTAAACATCATTATGGAGCTATTGATAAAATCAAAGAAAACACATTTGTCATGATGGGTTTAAGGTGCCTAACCCACATGCAGAAATCACTCAAGAGGCAGAGAAAAAGTTCAAAGGTTTATTTACAAGAAGCACAATATATATCATGAACTGGTCCTTGGTAGGTTGACTGGTCACGCAGGGTAAGTATTGCTGGTTTTTCTGGTGTACAAGGGAGTACCTGTTCTGAAGTTGAGCGGAGCTGCAGAGGGGGGGAACCCTGAGGGTCCAGAGGCCAGTCGGCAGGCAGAGGGCGGAGGCAGAGGCTTACTGAGTGCAGGCAGACGGATTCCAGACTGAGTTCCTTCTCAGTTTTCTCTGAGAGCGGGCAGGCAGATTCCAGGCAAATATAACCCTCCAGGGTTTCACTGAGAACAGACAGGCAGACTCCAGAAAGTAGAGATGTTATGAGATGAGCCGAGGCTTCGAGGCGTGTGTCGAGTAATGGAGGGGGCGTTTCCCCGATGCGCGTGTCAAGGCGTGATTCATTTAGAGGAGGGGCCAAAATTGATGACATCCGAGGCCTCGTTACCGTGAAACCACGTGACCGCTTCGGGAAGTGGTTCAGAACACGCAAGAATTTTGAAAGGCATCTAAACAGCCTCAGTGTTCAGTCAAGATGTGGGAGTTTGGAGGAGAGCTGCTGTCAGCTGGATAAAGTTTGGATAGATTCTAATAATAGATTGGTTGTTTTTCCAACCAATCTAGTTGCTAATTTGGTTTGAATAAACAATGTAATGATCAAAATTTGAGCAAACCACCAGACAAAGCCAGTGTTAACGCGTCAGTCTTAAGAAGTATTTTCTCCTGAGTAAACTTATCTACTTAGGTGGCGTCAGCTGTAAGAGTCAGGCTCCCACTCTAGAGGTTGTTGGTTCAAGACCTGTTTTTGACTTTTGAAAATTTCGCTTAGAATTTATTCTTTTGGCTGATGAGACTAATTTGCATTGTTTTGCCCGAGTAAAAATATAGATTGGGTAAATTAGGTCGGTTTAGTAAAAAGATTGGTTGAACACAACTTCCAACCTGATTAAAACCAAAAAACGTGGAAAAACTATCATGTTTGAATAAAAATGACTAACACCTTTCATTTTGTTCATCATTGCCCAATTTGGACAAACACTGTCACTGTCTGCTTGAGTTTATTTCACTAAAATGGCAGAAAAACTGTGCACCTTAAATTATTGTTCTAAGAAATTTTACACTTAAAAAAACTTACAAAAGATTTTATTATACACACCAACCATTAATAATTTCAAGGGAACTTAAAAGGGGAAAAAAAGAAAAACAATTCTAAAAAAATCAGAGATTTTATTACAAACTGTAGTTCTGCTCTCCACCAGTAGGTGGTGACATGTTCACATGAAGCCTCATGAACTGTGGGGATCGCTGAAGCAATTTGGCCAAACGGTTCAATGAGGCTTCATCTCACCATCACTACCAGAAAGAGTCTTCTCTCCAGGTTTTCGGATTGTCAGGCAGGAATATCTGAGAGACAGAAAAAAGACTGGATCAGGCAGGTTCACAAAATCTTGGTTCAGAAAAGCAGGCTGGCTCAGGCTTTGCTAACCATTACTGGCAAACACTCTGGCACTGGAGTGTCCGTCTCCGCCTCCTTAAGAAGGAGCCTCCTGATGAGTAGATTGAAGACAGGTGTAAGAGACAGGTCCTGCCCCCAAGAGATCTCGTGCGCCCTCTGGTGGAGAAAGTGAACGAAACCTCCAGATCCCAACAACATTTACTTAAAGTGTATTGCTCTTGTCAGAATTCAATACATTTATTCCGTAACAAAACTGAGAAATTCAGAAATAAATCAGCATTTTTTAAATGAATTTACTAAGGGGACACATTATTATTATTTTTTTTGGCTAAAGTTAGGAGATATGTGCGAAGGATACAAAAAGCTACTCGTTTCTTCATTGCTGCTACTGTAAGATGGGGAAAATGGGGAGAACCACAGTAATAACCCACATAGAAAGAAATCAGCACAAATTCTTAGACAGTTATATATTGAATAAATTGGAATGACAAATGGAAAAAGTATTAAAAATATGAAGAGAAAAAAAAGTTCTGATAAGGGAGATAGAAAGTAAATCTGTTTAAAACTTTTTTACTGATGCATATAAAAAGCTTTGCAGGCTATTATTCAAGCAGTAGTACATAACGGTTCCCTAGATGGTTGTTATTTTGCATAGTTGCTCTTAAAGAAACACATTCTCAGAAAAGAAATAGTTTTTATATATGAAAGAAAAAATTAAGCTGACTAATCGCTTCTCAATTATTAAATTGGTACATTACCTTTACAAAGCCTCAGAAAGGCAAGATTTATGAACAAAAAGTAAACCTGGACATGAAATTATGTTTTTATAAAGTGTTTTTAAAAGGTTTTCATATAAAGATGCATATGTAATAACTTATTATAGGTTTGATTGTTTTTTGGTATTTTGAATGTATTTCCTGCCCCCCCACCCCCGGAGATAACTCCACCAGCTGCCACTGGTTGCAATGTAGCTTTGCCAAGCAGTATTTACAATAACATTATGATCACATTACTCTTAAAACTGAGAGGAAAATATTATTTTCACTCTTTCAAAATTTAAACAAAATTAGTTACTAAAGACATGAAAAAATAATAAATTTTCACATTTTGATTTTAATAGTGAAATTCAGGCCAATAGTAATTTAGCACCTCTAAAGTGTTTTTTTGATGTGGAATATTGTCTTGTTTTTATTCCTGTGGGTTGGTCATGGCATCCTGATAACCAGCCGAGAAGCTGGTATAGGAGTCAGTTTCTATTCATAGAATCAGATTTCTGCAGGATTCAGAAGCGAAACTGCTTGACTGAAGGTATCACAGAGGCTTACTTAGACTGCCACCTAGTGGCGACATGAGAAGCTAAAACGCTGGCCCAGGTAACTGCTGCAGAGGCTGCAATGCTGCTTGGAGTTTTAACTGTTTATCAGCTTCTTTTTATCATTTTATGTTTGTTCTTATTTTTTAAAGCTATTGTATGTCATTCCAAAAATTTTTTCTTTGATAAACTTTTTTTTTTCTTTTTTGTTATTTTCCCTCTCTGCTGTTCGAATTAGTTTGGACTTTTTAATATATTGTTTTCTGTTTTGTTTATTTAAATTTAACCCTTTCATGCATGAATTATGATAGTATATGTTATGATTTTTTACCAAGTGTTTTTATCACTCTTTATGAATGAAAAAAAACATTTTCATCAATTTTTTTTTAAAATATACTTTCTTTAGGGAGTTGCATAATGTCCAACTTAGTGGACACATAACTACTTACAAATTTTTAATAACACATAATCAATTCTTGGAATTTATACTTAACTCCTTAATTGTTACATGATGTCCCCATATTTTTTTTACCTGCAAGGATCGCCTAGAATTTAAGGAATGAGCAGATATTCCTCTCCCTCACAACCCATGTGCTCCTCTGTCGGCCATTTTGTTTTTTTGAGGAAAAAACAAAGTCACTTGCAAAGGCTGATGAGTAGGTGGCAGTTTGACAAGTGGCAGGATGATACATTAGCGTCCACTGTAGTAACATATGTGCAAATGTGACATTAAAACATGCTCATTTAAGAGAAAACAACCATTTAATAACTGTCAACTGTAGTGACCACTATGCATGAAAGGGTTCAATTTATTTAAATTTCTTCCACTCTTACCTTGTCATCTTTATTGTTTTATTTTATCTTCTATATATATATCTCTTTCAGACTTAGATTTGTTGACAAACCAAGGGAGGGAACCCATGCAAGCACAGGGAGAACCTGCAAGTCAGGTTTCGGACGTCGGTACCTGTAGATCATTTCATAACTGACTCTACATTGTTTGTCCAAAACTGGCCACCGTACTGACTCGGCGTGGGCCAGTAAGAATTCTTATCAGCTCTTTGATGTTCCTCGTTATGTATCTGTGTGAGCAGCCTTTACAGCAGTGCAGTAAAGCTACAGTAACTGTGAACTTGTCTTGTGTCATCCTTAGCTCAGAAAGAAACTTTTACATGGATTCAGAGGCCAGACGAACCTTCCCACCTGCGAGCTTATTTTTCTTTACCGTATAAGTGTAGTAGCGTCCGTTTGTTACGTTGCGTTTTGTTTGTTAACACAACAACAACATCAACGAGCCTCTCTTCTTCCCCGTGATGGATGGTTTTCGCAGACCCGACCCCTTTGTCCTCAATGAAAATATCACAGAGAATTGGCGAGTTTTTGACATCTTCAGTGCCGCGGCACATTATGACAAGCCGGCTTAAACCCAGG